AACTAAACCAAAATAACTCCCAAAACCTAACAGTAGAATTGAGGCTATAGACGAGGAGTGGAAGGTGAGGGACAAAGGGTGCCCGGTAGATTGTGGTGGAGGATGGTAGTTGCCTTGATGGTGGATCTGATGTGGTGCCCTAGTATCAAATACAGCGTCATAAACCAACATAACCTCAATAAACATATTAATAAAAAAAAGTCACCCTAATTCTTAACATTGCCTCAACACCCAGCAGCAAACACCTCACCATCCTTATAAGAGCTCAGAGTCACCACAGGACACCACCTAAGGGTCTCAGAGACTGGACTCTAGTCAAATCCTCCCTCCCACTCTGCTTAAGGGGCATGCCCTTACCAGCTCATCCATACGTCTTTACTGGGGAGGGAGGGCAAGGTGCACATTTTACCAAGAATTCTTAGAATTATTGACAACACTGGTAATAATAAGTGACACTGAACAGTCTCCCCAAAGACTGTTCAGACAGAATCTTCTCAAAATGTGTCTCCTTGGATGTGGAGTTAAGATCAACTGAAGCTCCACAGATCTCATGACAAATTATTACCAAACTTCAAAGGATGCAGTTCCCTAGATTTAAGAATATCTCCAGAAACAACCTTTTTTATCAGAGGAATCTATCTTAAGGCAGAGCAAACATCTGGAGCAAGTCTTTCCCTGTGAAATCATCCTTTTCTTGTTATGACAGATTTCCCTCCTCTCTGACATCCCAGGTCCCTATTCCCATGGACTCCAGTTTGACCCATTAACCTTAGAATTTACAATATGTCTGTATTAGGTCTGGTCTTTTTGTCCTGCTAGTCTGTCTAATGTTCATTTGTTTGTCTGTCCTGTCCAAGAAGACCCCAGAAAGGTAGGGGATATCCCCCGGGGCCCCAGAAATACCCTATACTGAGCACTTACTAGTTTCCAAGCACACAGCAGAGCACTTGCCCTGTCTCCTCTCCAAATAAGCTCTGCAGTGGGCGCCACGGTCATCATGGCCTCACAAAAGGTCTGCACAGCTCAGAGGGAGAGGGCAAACCCCAGAGCCAGGAGGACCCAAGCCCTTAGCTCTCCTCCAGGCTCTGTGGCCTCTGGGAGATGCTCCAAAGGCCCTGCCGAGAACAGGCTCAAGAAAGGATGGCCATGCAGTCCATGGCACCCTGAAGGGGATCATTCTGGAACCGACTCTGACCCTCCACTGCCCAGGGGCCGCAATGTCTAGAAAAGGCCTAATAATTATTACTAAGGATGTATTTATGAGCACAGTGTAAGCAGTTAAAAGGACATGAAGAACTATTCACATTTATTATTTGAAGTTATTTGAACTTCAGAATGAATCCATGAGATCAGTAAACTTGAACAAAATCATTAAAAGGGAAGGAACCTAAAGCTCAGAGAAGTCCTATATCTTCTCCCAGGCTGCACAGCCACTGGCATTAGCTGGAACTGCACGGTCCCATTCCTGTTCCCTTCTGCCGTGCTGCTGAGCACCCCAGGGCTCGTGGGCAGCACGTGCAAATTGGCTTTGCCTGCATGCATCAGCACCTTGATTATGACTGTACACACTGCGGTGATACTCATGATCTCATGACAAATTGTTACCAAATTTCAAAGGATGCAGATTCCCTAGATTTAAGAATATCTCCAGAAACAAACTTTTTATCAGAGGAATCTATTTTAAGGCAGAGAAAACATCTGGAGGAAAAAATAGATTATCAGAAGAATCTATTTTAAGGCAGAGAAAACATCTGGGGGAAAAGTCTCACTTCCCATGAGGCCATGATGATCGTGGCGCCCACTGCAGAGCTTACTTGGAGAGCAGACAAGGAAAGTGCTCTGCTGTGCGCTTGGAAGTAGTAAGTGCTCAGTATAGGATATTGCTGGGGCCCAGGGAAAGTCCCCTACCCTTCTGGGGTCTTCTTGGACCACACAGGCAAACCCTGGTCACAGAACTCACTGTGGTTGGCCCACTTGTCCTCCCTGTGACACTGGAGCACTCTGCAGCACTTGCAGTATCAGAGGGATATTTGGTCTGCAGGGTGGTGACCCAGCTGCTTGGTTCAGAATCAGCAAGCACCTGCCTGCATCCACAGGCTCCAAGGACAAATTCAATGACTGGCCTTTCTTTCTTTCTTT